CCCACATAATTCAATTGACTTTTACAACAAATAAATTCCTATACATTTATGAGGTTGGAAAATAATTCTAGTAAAGTGAATGTACAGCATCGTCATCAGCAAAACTTCTACTTGCAAAAAGCAAAGGCCTTGACTGCTCACGTGTGCCCCCCCCTCCCCCCATCACAGCAACTTCTGCAATTTCATACTATGGACTTGTCATTGACCCCAACTCCTTTTCCCAGACTGTGGAGAACATTTTCCACGTGTCTTTTCTGATCAGAGTAAGGCATTTACTGAAGATTTAAAGTGAGCTCTAGTACCTCCTGGTGACTGTAAGCAGGCGTGACAGTTTCATTCGTGTTTCGCAGAAATGGCTTTTGTATAAAAGAGGTTAATAGTTGTTCCAGCAGTTAAAATGTCTTGCTTGTACATTTCTGTGGACCACATAGTGAAGGTATGTTCTATCTGGTGTATGAGGCATGTTTATCTTAGCACAAAGAACAATATTTTGTTGCACCGCTATTATCGCAAGGTTTGGGTGTGATCATATAGGCTGTGACACCACACCAAGGGATTTCAGTGAGCCATTAGCAGAAGTCTGGTTTTTCTACTATCTGTACAAGGTATTTTTTTTATAATTGTGTGTCTGTCCAACTAATCAGAGAGCTCCTTACATCCCACGGTGTGGCTAATTTGCATTGCAGCAGGATTATTAAAGTGAAGTTGCTAATCCAATAGTTAATCCGTGAGCTAATCTGTGAGAAAACAGGAAAGAGAACTGGATTTTAAAATGAGGAGTGGGCTCATCATATTAAATTGTATTTTTAAAAAACATTTTGAAAATCTCTTTTTTAATGTGGAATTCAAAAATGAATTTACAAATGCAGAATTTATTCTACAATTCATTATTTAAGCACAGAACACTTTATTTCGATGTGCATGGCTCTTGTGGTTCTCCATACCAAGGAACTTGAAAAACTCCACAGTAGATACCGGGCTGTCTGATGTGGTGAGGTGGAGCAGTGTTGATGGATGTCTCCTGAGGTCCACTGTCATCTCTAAGTCTTAAGCCTGTTCAGCTCCAGGTTGTGCTGACTGCACCAGACTACCAGCCACTCAACTTCCTGCCGGTAGGCAGACTCATCACCATCCTGAATGAGGCCAATGACGGTGATGTCATCTGCAAACTGTTTAGCCTGCAGCCCTTCCAGTAATGCTGGTCTTTTAGTAATTACCAGTGTATGCTCATTGTCAGCAGGCTCACTGTCAAAAGGCTCATTGTCAACCATGAGGTGTATGGTATTGTGTCGTTTGGCAGCTTAAATATGTGTTTTGCGACAGTAACACTGGGCATTAACTTTTTTTTGTGCTCTGCAAAGTAAAAAGGAAACTGACTGTTACTCCACAGAGCACACCAGAAAGTCCTCAAATAATGGACAACAGTTCTTCCCCAGAGCCCCTTCCACAGCTGTCAAGCACCTCTACCCTCCAAAAAAATATCTAGGGTGAAGCAAAGAAGGCAAGGACAAAGAGGATTTGAGGGCAGCCTCTGATACCAAGGCTGATCTGAGCATGGACAAAAATGTAGAAAATAATAATCTGTTGGGGGCTTCCCATTATGCATGATGCGTGAGGAATGTTTCCTCTTTCTCATCTGTAACCGGAAGGTCGCTGGTTCGATCCCTGGGCTCTCTGTCCTGGTCATTGTGTCCTTGGGCAAGACACTTTACCCTACCGCCTACTGGTGTTGGCCAGAGGGGCCGATGGCGCGATATGGCAGCCTCGCTTCTGTCAGTCTGCCCCAGGGCAGCTGTGGCTACAACCGTAGCTTGCCTCCACCAGTGAGTGAATGAATAGTGGCATTGTAAAGCGCTTTGGGTGCCTTGAAAAGCGCTATATAAATCCAATCCATTATTATTATTGTAGGGTCTTTTCCTTACTGTAGAAAGTGCCTTGTGGTGACTGTTGTTGTATTTATATAGGTAACATTTAATTATCTGAAGAGTGCTTCTAAGAAAGTGACTTCAAGATATATTACGTTCAGTTTCAGAACTTTAAAGTCACTTCAACTTTATCTTAACTCAGCTCTTCACATCTCAATGCAAAATGCCCACTGGTGACCCTTTACAACTTGAAAAATTATCAGTGTGTTTAAGCTGAATTTGACAGTAACATAAATTAACCTAAATGAAACCTAATTTAGGTTAATTTAATTTAACCTAAATTAAATATAGATGAGTAGTAACGTGTTAAAAGTAACATGTTACTGTAATCCGATTGCTTTTTTCAAGTAACAAGTAAATTACGATTGCAAAAAAGAAATTAGATTACTGTTAGTTTCCCATAAGCACGCTGCGTTACTGCATTACTAAACTGTGATTTTGTTTGTGAGACTGTCTCATGACAATGACGTACGAGTGTGCAACATCCCTGACAGCACCAAATGTGTTTAGATCAACAACTGATAATATGGAGTGCGGAGAAAGTATGACCATGCAGCGTTTAAAGAATGGAAGTACGGGCATTACTTTGAGTTTTATTCTATAAAAAGTGACAATAAAATATTACGCTGCCACGGGAATGGGAAATTCTCAGAGAAATCCTTGGACCCCCCCAATGACGTGACCACTGCAGCACCAGGCAAACCTCCACCGGCCCTTATTCAGGTGAAAACAGACTTAAGAATGACAGGACTTGGTGCAGCTGAATCTTCGATTTTATATATTTATTGCTGTTTTCCTTGAAAGAGTGAGGGTAAACACATAAATTATTTTATTTTATTTTATTTCATACGCTGTAATATGCAGAAAATAGGTTTAAATATTAAACAAATTTCTTCAGGTCAGAGCATATAATTAAATTTTTGCTTGATGCAATGTGCATGAAGTTAAAAGATTAAAACTAATAAAACATGTTTTAAAAATAAACTTATTCATTTGATTACATTTTATATGATATCATTTTATATTGCTTTATAACATATTCAAGTTGTGTATCATGTTTATAAAAAATAGCTAAGTAATAAAGTAACTAATTACTTTTGAAAATAAGTAATCAGTAAAATAGAGTAACTGGATTACTTTCTTGAAGATGTAATCACTAATTAGCAACTAATTATTATTTTCAAGTAATTTTACCAACACAGAATAACACATTTCATTATTTACAGACATATTGTGGATAACACTTTATAGGGAGAGATCAGCTCAGAGTATCGCCATACAGCCTTGTCCTTTGAATGGGCTCCATGAAAACACATGAAACTCGGCTCATAAAACACGCCCACACTTTCTTAACCAGCGAGGCGCCAGACGTAACCAGTGACGTCACGTGCGCGTGGAGAAGGTAGCTCGACGCGCGCTCGGCACAGGACGTCCCGCCACTGCAGATCGACCAATAGAAGCCGGAGTTACTATCCCGACTAATTTGAAGTTGCAGGAAGACTACTAATGTTTACACTCCATACGCATTACACGCCAGTCCTGCGTTGTGTCCGCTGTTGTCGTGCCGCACGTTTTACTTGCAGAAATGGCCTCCGAAAACAAATCGTGCAAGACAGAGGACGTGCTGGAGATCGTTTCGAAAGATAGTGAGGTAGAGTTGTGTGTTGAAGATTCTTCGTCAGATGACGAAGATCTCATCCAGGTAGACAAAGAAAATAGCAGCGATTCGGGCTACGAAATACTGCTGCCCCAAAGGTATGCAATCTTAGGTTTATTGGTGAATATTTTTTATCTTTTTGTCTTGGTGCATGGTCAGTCATCCAGTTTGGAAATCCCAGAAAGTGGATTCTGTTCATTTGGACATCGCGTTTTCAGTGGGAGAAAAGTTTAATTACTCATCCCAGTGACTTGAATTAAATTTCCCCAACCTTATCGACAGAACATTTGATAGTGGCTGAAACTATCACCACTGACTTACAATGCGCTGTGAGGTCAGTTTCTTGATTATTAATATGCAAATTGTCAGGATCATTAATCAATGATCATGAGTATCATTCACAGAGAACTGGGAAAAGGCTGCAAACACGGGAAGTGAAAGAGGCTAATTGCACCCAGGTTATAATCAATCTAGTCACTTTTGGTCAATTAAACTATTGTATAGAACTGTGATGTCATATTTCTTACAATTTCTGCTCCCCTCTTGGCAAGATCTGTCTTGGCAACAGAGGGGGAGGCAGACATTTGATACACCCAGGGCTTAGCCCTAAAAGGTAGTATGCATGTGGGATTGGGGGGGAGGGTTAGAAATGACTGAAAGACTGGGCTCTGTTTTGAGTTTTGTTCAAAGAGGAATGACTTTATATAGGGAAAAATATATATCATATATGCAGGACACCTTAAACTAGTTTTTCAATTAAGCAGCAAGGCAGAACAAAGTCAGGGCTGCATCAAGACACGAGGACTAAACCCCAATTCAACCAGACCCAGAACTGATCCGGAATTAAACAAGACTACAACAGTTCAAAATCAGGACTACTTGGGACTTAACCAAGACAGAACCAGAATCAAAACTAGATGATAGTAGCACTGAAAATAATCATAGACCTGCACTACACTTATTTTTTAATTCTACCAAAGTACACTATTTAGATTGAGAAAGGTTTATATAATTATTTAGCCTTGTTGTGCAAACAAGCCTGCATAACTTAATAAATGTAGAATATGAAAAATAGCAAACCTAAAAAGAAACACTAGGTACGAGATACATGAGTACCTATGATACGGTGATACTTTTGGTAAACAACCATTTGACTAACATGTGTGTCTCACCTGCTCTTGTTCCCTCTCTGTTCCTCTCTCTCCCTTTTTGTGATGACAATCAAGCCAAACACCAACATCATCAAATATACAGTGGAAACCAGATATTTAACTACTCTTCAGATAAAAACACAAACACTTTTTAATTGTAACATCAAATCAGACCAAATGTTTATTTTTTTTAGATTGATAAATATAAAAAACACATTTGTTAACTTTAAGAGTAAAGAGAGAAACTATCTGTATTTCTTAATTGCAAATGGCACCAAATTGTATTCAAAATTGAGCCACACTTATGGAGCTCCACAATTCTTTTCCTGGTGTTTTGGTTGATATCTCTTGATTTTCCCATGTCAAAGAAACAGGCTCAGTGTTTTGCCTTATATGCATCCACGGGTGTGCCACCAATTTACTCACATGGACTCTACTAACCTATCAGAAGCTTCTTCAGCTCAGAATGGAATCGTCTGGAGTGTTCTTATTAATTAACAATAAACTTAGTGTATATGTACTCCTAAATTTGATGAAAGTGATAAAAAATAGACTGCTCTGTCTCTCTTTATTCTGACATTTAACTAATTCAAAATATATTTCAATATTTATTTATCCAAAACAAAACAAGTTTACTCTAAATTGATGTTGTACAGTAAAAAAATGTTCTTGTGTTTTCCATAAAGTGTATGTAA